CTCAAGCATTCAGGTTGTCCTTGCAAAGGAGGCAGCTTCTGCAGAGCAGGTCAGTGGCATCCTGTGTCTAGGATGTCTAGTCCCTCTAGCCCAGCAAGAAGAGCACTCTCCAGGAGGCAGGGTGGAGATTCAACTCTCACCAGCAAGAGGAGGAATTGAGCCCAGCTTTCACTCGTAGCGTTTAAGCATTCTTGTGACTAATCTGTTGTGTAAAAGGGAATAGAAGGGAAGGTGACGACAGCATCTTTAATACCACCATATTTCCTGCAGTTTGCTTGCTGGAGTGAGCCATATACAGAGTTTCAAAACTTTTTTTACTTCTGATAAAAATATTACCTGTATCAAAACTGAAACAAAGTATTGAACGGGAATGTAGTGACGAAAACAATCTCTCATATGAGCGAGAGCATGCAAGTGGAAATTACTTCATTGGGAGTGAAGAGGCAAAATTCATAGCTCAAGGAACTCAGATAAGGGAGGCTGAATAATGTTCATCGCAGGATTCCTGTTAAAAAAAGGAAAAAAATACGGAACCCAAAGCTGGGGTACAGGAATCCTAAACAGATCTGTTAACTGCCATTTCCCATATATTTGCCATTTTCCAGTCATAATAGTAGTAAAAAAGGAGTAAAGGGGAAGCGGTCAGGCAAGTCCTGACTCTCTTCTCTGACCCAGTCCTATGGATGAGGAAAGAGTTAGAAAAATAATTGAAGAAATTGTGGAAAGTACAGCAAATGAGGTGAACTGCAACGGAGGAACCCCAAAGAAGGATTATCGTAGAACAGTCTAACATCTTTCTTGGAGAAGGTAGCTTTGTAAACAACAAAGAAGCAGTACAGAAGAATAAATCCCTCTGGATTCAAGGAAAGCATTTGATCTTAAAACATATAGGCAGTATTTGTTAGGCTAGAGATTAAATTTAGTGTAGGAAAGAGAGCTGGGGAGTCAGGGAGAACAGCAGTGAGTTATTTTGAAAGGGCTACTGAATGTTATTAGTGGAGTTGAATGAAAAGCTGTATTTGGGTCTGATCTTATTTTCATTAAATCATTTTGGTACTAGACAAATACTATAATAAACGTTGGTGATAACGAACTCAGGAGATGTCAGCAGTACAGGGATTTGTATATCATGCTTACATGACTGCGTGATCTTAAGAATAATAGATTTTGGATGTAATTTAATGGCGGAACATGCAAAGTCCTACACCTTAGGAACTAATGAGATTTTTCTGCTATAAACTGGAGTAAGAAAATTACGTGAGGAGGAAACCTATGTTCATTAATCAAGCACAGAATGACCGTGAGCCAACAACAGGTCTGTGAAGGGGGAAAAAAAAAGTTGTCAGCTTTCTTGGGTAACAAATATCTAGGAGAGACAGGGATTTTTAATGCTGTTGTAGAAGACTGCTGGATAACTTCAACTGAGATCCTGAGTAGAGTTCTGGTCAACTAAGTTCAAGGATGATGGGCTCTGATTAGAAGAGGTAGAAGGAAGGTGATCTGAAGGAAGAGGGAAGGCAGGGAGGACACTGAGGGCCTCTCCAGCCCAGGGACTGACAGCTCAGGCAAAGCAGGGGCGTGGAGAGGGTGGGATTGCTGCCTGGGAGGAAGGTGAGAGGACAAACATGAGAGGGGAAGAGGACAAGCACGTGCTGTTTCAGATATAAGGGCAATGTTGGCACAATAAATAATTATAAATTAACCATTAATATATTTTGATTGGAAATTAGATGGAGGTCTCTAAGCAAAGTGAGATCAGGGCATAGAAACTCTTCAGTTCATTGTAATGTTATGGTTGCTTACCTTATGGAAGAGAGAGTCTAAAATGTTAGCCTGAAAAAGGTGACTGTGCTTGATGAGCAAAGATGCACATCTGGGAAACAAATGAACAAGGTGATTGACTGTCTAAATCTGATCATGTCTGAGGCAGATATTTAGGCACTGAGAAAAAAGAATTGAGCACCGTGGTATTTTAGGCAACTGCAAATTACAGCAATTTTAAACTTCTCATACTTCACGTTTCGTTATGAAACTAGTGCTTGTACCTGTTAAATTTAGCTACAGAGGAACTACAGGTGGGCTCTTTCAGCATCTTGGATTTCCCTTGCGGGTCTTACTCAAATATCTGAGGAAGTCGCCGTGCTGACCTGGCTTTGAGCTGATATCCCAGTGGGATGCTGAGTGGAGGCAGTGCCACCTCGCTGCCCACCCAGATGCCTCCAGTTCTTTATGGCAGGAGTGTGGTGGTCATTCACCCCTTCCCATTTGAACAGGGTTGTGATGAAGCACTACTGGTACCATCTGGAGTCGCCAAATTTTTCTTGATGCCTTTCAGCGAGGTTTTTATATTTTATGGAGCTCAGTGGACATTTGCTCCGCGTGTCTGTGTGGATTCTCTTGGAGCTGTCAGCGGGCTCAGCAGCCCACAGAGCATCGCTGCCGTAGACGGAGGTATCTGGTGGTCTCGGTTTCTTTTCCTTGGAGAGACTCCAGGGGATTGCTTCAGTGCTTGTTTACTCTGAAGAGTATCTTTAATGGGGACTATCAGGTTGTAGTTTGTCATCACTGCTCTCTGCCTGGCGGCTCAGGGAAGTGCTCTCTTCCCCAAAGCGGTGAGACAACTTTAGCAGCCTCAAACACAAACACTGCTTAAATACGTGTATTGCGTTATTGTCAGGCGCAGGCAACTGAAAGGCAGAAGTAAAAACTCGTTTTTAATAGCAAGTTCTTTATAAGTTTAAACCAAGGAGCCTATTTTGTGGTGAAAGCTTGGAATTCAAGAGTCAAAGGGAGCCTGTGTTCATGGTGGCTGCTCGTGCTCCTGCTAGGCATGGTAACTGCAAACATATGAATTTCCTGACTCTGTAAATTAAATGGGCTTCAAAAAGGGGCAGGGAAGAATTCCTGAGGGCTCATAGCCCAGTGAGAAAACCAGAGGGAAGGCACAAGATGAAAGATGCTCAATGGTCTGAGCTCATATTATCGGGTATTGCACCCCAGGGCAGCGCTGGGTATTACAGCCCACATGGGAAGAACATAAGAGTTCAAGGGGCCCAGGGGTGCTTCAAATATTTGCTTTAGCTTAGTCTTTTAAAAGCTGTTTTTTGAATCCCAAGGATGATTTTCCGCTCCTTGTTTTTAATAGGAAAGACTGTTTTAATTGGGATGATTCTTAACAACATTTATCTGATAAACAAGAAATGGCCAACCGTTACTGTTGATCATTAACCCTGTTGTCCAAGAAGTCTCGCCAACCGGTCTTCAGTTGTTTAAACCAGCTGCCGTCAGTTTAAATACTGCTTTGTTTATCACTGTGGAACAGGTTATCATTTGTAATATGTTTTGCTGCTCGCTGGCATTATTTTAGAAGTTTTTTATATGATGTTTGATTTCGTGTGGTTTTTTATCAGATCTAGCTTTTAAGGGTTTTGTGTGAATTCTTGTGAGAGCTACCGTCTTTCTCCAAACAAGGTTTTAAGAACAGTGATATATAAATATGTCCCTTCCTTACTGGCTTATCCATGATTATCCCTCTCATAAGGGTAAAATGCTTGTCACCGTCAGCACTATGAAGTTTTTTTCCACCTTGGAAAGTCTCTTGTAGATTTACAGTTTCAAGGAGTGAAAGATCCCTTGAAATGCTTTGGAAGAGGAATGGTTCTTCTTACTGGAATAATATTTTCTTTTCACACAGGCCACTCCTCCGGTGAACATTCCAGGGTCAGCAAAATTCACTCCCAATGGCAGTAGCTTTAGCATCTCTTGGCAGTCGCCTCCAGTTACCTTCACCGGCATTCCAGTAAGTGAACGACAGAAAAAGAAAGAAAGAAAAAAAAAAAGTTTTTAGAACTTTTTGTTTTGTTTCACAGTGTCTCACGATAGAAGTAACTTTGACATAACAGCTACCGAAAAGAAACAAATTAAATATATGCCTCAGTTTGCCAGCACAGCTGATTTTAACACTTTTGCCAGTCTCTTTAATTCAGTACAGTTACTTTTTTTTGCAGCAGTGTCTGCAAGCAGAGAATTGGATCTATAGTATGTATTTTTTAAACTATACACTTAGAAAAGAACATTCTGGTAGGTGCAGAGCCTGGCAGTATCTGCTCCTTTTTGTGCCACTAAGAGATTTCTTACAAAACTAGATGGAAAATCAGCAAGGTGATGGTTATGCTAACAGGCTAATTGGATTCAAGCAGCAGGGCTGTTACCTAAATGAACTCTGAAGGTGAAATATATTTGAAAGGCGACTGAAAGAAACAATAAGATGAAATGCAAAGTCTGGTTCTAGTAGGCTACATATATGTAGTCCCTATTGATACCAGAAAATTCTGTACATTTATACAGTAAATATGTTCAATACATATTGCATTTTGATATTAATACATATTGCAGTTTGGCGCATTTTTAATGAAGATGTAGTAGATGTATTTACTAGATGTAAGTCAACTCCGATGCTTTCTTCAAAAAGCTGGTATAAGAGGCCTAATTTCATGAACAGGGCTGCAGAAATGGGATGTTTGCTTAAACACAGAATTCCAGTAGTCCTGAATGTCACGCAATATAGGCATGGACACTGTAGGGGGAGTTAAAAACCTTTATGAAGCGTTCAAAGGGATTAGGCTTCTAGTGCCTAGCGTGGTGAATACTAAAAGTAAATGTAAATCCCTATTTATGAGTAGTGGAAAATCTTCTGTGTAATAAATAAAAATAAATATTAATGTAATGTATCCTAATTTTTATTGGAGAGCATTTTTCAGTATAAATTGATATTCTCTAATCATAAAGCTTTTTTGTGTCATAACATTTCATTTAATATTACACTTTATGAATTTATGAATTTTTAAAGTGTATTATGTAAGGCACATTGCTCATCCAAAGAACCATATAGCTTTTCTTCTCCCGACAGTGAATATTAGACATGGCGATAAGAGATACTATTTCCCTCCCTTCTCTTCACCAAGTGAATTTCCAAAGCTTCTTACTGTCAACCTTTGGCAAATCTTGGGAGATTTTCTGCAGAGGCTGTGGCATCCTGCAGGGATGATAAAAAATGAAAGTGGCTGAATCAATTACACTGCACTCTGCCAATGAATATTTATTAAATTCCATCAAGGAACAACTAACAGTGAAAGACATCATGCTGGCAGCAATTTCAACAAGAGTGCCTTGACAGAGCGTGCTATCCATGAAGTTCCTTGAGAATTTGATTTCCCAACAATGGGGTTGATACAGAGTAATTATGAAACTGGCTCCTTTTGTGGAGTAGCAGAAATTGGTGCCAGGAGTGTTGGGACTCTAAAAATGCAATTAGCCACATTGTAAATCAGACACTTAAGAGAACAGGATTAGACACATATGCGTTGAGTTTACTTGTTCAAGCAGCAACGTTGATCTGTGGCTGTAGAGTTTAGAGTTCTCAAAAGAATTTAAGAAATGCCAAATCACTTTCTGAGAATTGTATGGAGATGTCAATGCTTTAAGTACAATCTAAAAATAATCCCAATACAAAAACCTGGGGAAGCAGCGATGATGGCAGAGTTATAAACCACTCAGGGAACCATATGAACTGCCTTTGTATCTCTGTTTAACAACATTTATAAGGTTGTTTAGCAAGAAAAAAAAACCTTCTAGGTTTGCACACATTTGACTATTCTGTCATCAGTGAGATCATTTATGAATTAGAAAGGCTTGCCTGCAGTGGAAAATTATGTGCAGCAAGTGAGGGTGCAAATGCAAAGTGATGTTAAATAACTGTATATTAAATGAAAGTTTCATTTCTCCTGTTTCGAAGTAAATTAGATATTGCCTTATAAAAACGGGGCTCTGTCAATTCTCAGCATTACACAGAGTGTAACTACTTTAGGAAACCTATAGTATAGGGGACTTTCTCCTTCTCTTATGAGGTTTATTTAAGCCCAGACTGTGTGACAGAGCCGGCATACTATAAACTCATGCAATTGTATATGTACATGGTCCCTGAGATTAGATGCATGTCTGTAGCACCCAAGGGAACCTCACAGAGTAAGTCCAAACCATTACTTTTTGCCTGACCTTAATATTTATTCAAGCAGTTTTCTAAAATGGCTTTGGGTTACTTTTTTGGCCTGGACAAATCACTGAGCAGTAAAGGGTTAGGTACAGATTTGCAAAAGTGCATAGGTCTACACATTTCTTCACGTTACTAGTGATGTTGGAATGGGGCCATTCTGTCCTTGACCCATTAGAGGGCTGTTGAATCCTGGTTTTGAACAGGCTTCTTTCTAGACCTGTATGTCAGCAGTTGAGTCCACAAGAGAGACGAAATTTCAAAATAGTCATCTTTTGTGGGTTTTTTTGACACCTACCTTAGGTGTTTCCCCATTCATTCCTGTGGACAATGAATTTCGGTGACACTGAGCACTCTCTGCTTGCTGTCCCAGGAACTGGGGTGTTCAGACAGACATCATGACTTACATTAAGTCCTCGCTTTCGGGCAGTCTTTAGCAGAGCAGCACCAAAAGGCCTTTGTGAATGTGAGGGTGCTTATCAGCAAGTTCCTAAGTGCCTCAAAACAAGCCATACGTACAGCTGGATCAGTCGGGGTTCTGTATGCAGCTGCTTTAGGCTCAGGGGTATTCACAGCATCTAACCATAGGCATTTATCTAGAAGTCTTGTAGTCATAAAGGAGGAGAATTAGGGGAACCTCCAAAGTCCTTATACTTTGTGCTCTGAATCATGCATAAGTTAGATTCCCAAGGCAGATGGGAAATACACTTTTTCTTATCATTTTCCCAAGATAACTTTGCAGGTGCAAGAGCAGGTTGAGTGTTGGCACAGCCATGAGTCATTGCTAGGTGCAGTTCCCTGCATGAAGCAGAAAGGACAAGTTCATGTTTGCTCTACCACTTGAGGCTGAACTAGGAGAAAAAATAAGGTATAGCACAGGGATGTATGAGGAGGATGAATTAAATGATGCAAGTGGGATGAGCAACGGTGGAGTCTGTATCTCTTCGTACTGGAGGACTTAACATAATGACCATATAGTTCCACTTCTGTGTAACGTAGGATAAAAGTCTTGAATGCCAGCGTGATCTCCGTTGTGTGATACTGATTTTTACCAGCCTGCTCATAAGACCCAAAAGAGTTGAACAGGAGAGAAGATCTTTAAGTTTGATAATCTGATGTTTACAGATTCTTCTCTGTAACCACAGTTTCCCCCAGGAGATGTAACTGGAAACTCCACGTCCTTGCTTCAAACACACACTATCGTTTCACATTAATTCTCTGTGTTAGACACCACTTCAAATGTGAAAAGCCTCCGAGGGCAAGGATTGCCTTCTCATGCCTTCCTCTCAATCTGCTCTTAGTGTCGCCTACTAAGGAATACAGCTAACTGGTATTGTTTAGACCTGCTGCAAAGCGTATCAAAATATACTAAAGCTCAACTTCAGTGCAGTTTAGCTGCCTTGGTATGCCAATCCGTGGAAACTATCGTGCAGAGACCCCCTCTGGAGAATGCGAGGGGAGACGCAGTCTGCATGCTGCAATTACTGCTCAAGCCTGTACTGTGTTTGGAAGCAATCAGGATAATTGCTTATAACATAGGAGGCCATCAAAGTACTTGTTTGTTCAATGATAACCCAGGAATGTGTTGAGTATCAGTTAGTAGTGGTAGATACAAAAATTTTCTGGTTTTTAAAATGTTTAAGAACCCTAGCAGAATTGACTGGAGATCTCTGGTTGCTGGTAATGACTGGAAAACCGTGCAGTGTGTGTGGTAAATGCCAAAGAATAGAAAAGTGTTATTGCTTTGCATTTTATCTTTGGTGTTTCAGTCATTCTTAGGTAAAACAAGAGAAGTGGTTGATAAAAGATAGGAAAAAAAGTAGTAGACAACAAGCTGCCCTCAATATTGTAGAGTGATAGGACAGAAGGAGCTAGTGTGGTCTCTGGATATATAAAACATGACTTATGGTAAGCAGGCAGAGAGAGGGGAAATTTCTTTCAACTTTTGGAGATATATTTCATGTATCAGTAATGGTCTAAACTTGTTCAGAATGTGAGCTGCACATGCAGTTAAATCAGAAATTTCTGTAGTTACCAGCCAAGAGTAAAAGTTGAAAGACTGTCTGCTCTCCATTACAAGTATTATTTTTTTGCTACTGTCGAGTAGCTATAAAATAGACTTTATGTCAAAAATTAAAGCACACTCAGTAACTCTTTTCAAGTCAGGTCAGTTCCCATTCTTCCAGATATTATGAGACTTCAGAAGGGCAGGAGTGAAAAGTCATAGCAATGCAAGGAACTATGACAATATCTGCAGTTCCTGGCTGCAGGAGGCAGTGACTCCCTGCACCAGATGCCCAAAGCTTGCTACGTTCTGTACATAACAAAAAATGAGTGTTTGTAAGTTTTTTTCTAGTTTTTTTAGATGTAAAGTTGTTGTGGCCTTCACCCAGTAGCAAAATAAGACCCTAGCAGTAATTTAGGAATAATTTAAGGCCAAGCTTTATGCCATGGGATTACCCGAATAATGTTGCCAACCCACACGCTCCTGTAGGCAGTTTATTTGGAAAGTCTCAGAAGACCAAACTACGCCCTTCACTCGGGAACACTGACAAAGGAGGACACCTGCTGAGAAGGTTTACAGTGCAGAATAAAGGAAATAATCCAGTACATCTTGTTAGCAGCCTTAATCAGAAGGGCTGCCTTGCACTCCCATTAAAACCTTGAGGGCTGCATTGTAACTGCCGTGCAGCAAACCCCCTTCTCCAAGGCTGTCTCTCCACAAAGAGTGCCAAGTCACAGACGAGAGCAACTCGTGAAATCACTTTATTTCATAGGGGTTTATCGGTATTGATCTCAGCACAGGCCGGAGTTTATTTTTCCAGTTATTTTCTTTGCTTAAATTGGAGAACATTTTCGTAAGAGCTATTCAGAGTTCTTAAATAAGAATGAATGCATTTCCTGTTGTTTCACGAAACCTGAAACGATGCTCATCTGTATTCTGGTTTGCTCTGTTGGGATGACTGGAAGTACAGGGAAACAAAATGGAGCTAATATAGTGTACCTAATGCTCAGTGGACATCTTTCTAAATAGACTTGCAACTTCCCTATGTTTGTATGTTTTATAATAACCTTTCCTGGGTATCCTTGCCACCATGCATCATGAATTGCATTTTCTGGGAGAAGTGTTTATACTGCATTCATATGTGTATGTTCTTCATAAGCAGTTTTTTTGTCTGTATTGACAGGTCTCACCAACTCATAATCGTCCTGCAGGGAGTGGAGAGCAGAAACAGTCCCACACAGTTCTTTCATCACCGCCTAGAGTAGCATTTGGCTTGAGGTATGGGACCATTAGCTCCTGCTGACAGAGCAGCAGCCTCAGAACCTGGAGGGCATTTAGTAAATAAGATGTCAGTGGCCAAAGAAACAGAAAAACCACACCACCAACCGTGATTGCAGTTGTCAGGCAGTTTCTTACTAGAATGCTTCAGAGTAAGTGTTCTGGACCTATTTTGCTTTTCATTACTATCAAAGGTAAAGTTTGGGGGAAAAGTGAGTTGTTGTGAAATGAAAAAGGCAGACTGTGAAGGAAAACTGCAGGCCTTATGCCAGGCATGTCTGGAATTCAGATGCAGATCTAAATTGCCCTGTAAAGCAACGCTGCCCAGATTCACTGCTCCACCTGAAGCATCCTGAACTTCATTACGTGGCTTTGCTTTTTTCTCTGAAAGGCTGGGCTGTCTTGTGTGTTCATCACCATTCAGTCAGTACGGTATTTGGCTTTAATTGAATTACAAGAAACCGTATCTTACAATAAATTAGAGCAAAGTAAAGCTTTTTATGCCTTGTCTTCCTAGACGTAAGCTACATTCACTTCCATTAAAGCTAACTGATGGTGGACCAGAGTCTGCTTTAACAGTGTTCAAAAAGTTATGTTAAAAAAAATCAAACTGCGACACTGAATTTCTTACAGTAAAGAAACTCTTTAATTTCTCACAACCCTAAAGGTGACTGTACCCTAAAACGAGACAAAAGGAAGATTTCATGCTTTTAATTTTCTTCATGACTCTCAGATCATTGCATATGCTACAAACCAAACTTAGGATCTTCCCAATTCATGGATTGTGCCCATTAATGAATGTTCAGTAATCAAAAAATGCATAGGTGTGCAAGAGAGGAATCACCAGGCAGTTCCCATGTGTGCCATGCAGCATGTAATACAGGTATTAAACAATTCTGTCTGTACAGTTACTTGATTTAAAGACGCCAGGACAGATGGCACTGCTAGAGCGAGCGTTGGGTTACTTCTTGTAGCATTGCTCCTCAGGTGTGCTGGCTTTCCATGTGTTGAATAAAAAAAAGTTCTATTTTAACAGTTACTTTGATCATTTTCTGAACTTGTGAACTTTCGAGTGTGGTTATAAGATGAAAAACATGACAGTCGTTACAGCTTTAAAAGCAGATACTGCCTGCCTTGCTGACTTTGGGGACGACAGAGAAGGAGCACATGTGAACATGCTGCAGCTGAGGGCAAGGGTTAAAACTTGTTTTCAATCACTTCGTTGTTTCTCAGTCAGTGAGCTCGGAGCAAGCCATGCAGGAAGGACTGGCAAGTTTAGGAGCTGGTAGCTTCTCCCCTCTTTTGCATAGCTGCTACCTGCTGGTATTTGACTCGAAAACAACCCAAATCCCTTTGAAACGCTGGGCGTTCTCTGCCGGCTGCGCTCCATGGAGACTGTTGTCCTGATCTTAGGGTGATAGAGCAAAGCTACGAAAGCATCTCGTTAACAAGCTTCCCTTTCTCTCTGACAGGAAGCCTAGAGGGGAGGGGAAAAAGTGTCGGAAGGTCTATGGGATGGAGAACAGAGATATGTGGTGTACTGCCTGCCGATGGAAGAAGGCCTGCCAAAGGTTCATCGACTAAAGATTGAAATTATGCAGAGGATTTGGGGATGGGGGAGGACAACAGCAGAACCAGATTGCTGCAGCTGCACTGTATCACTTCCCATTTTCCCTCCAGTGATGTGTTGTCGAGGGGTTTTTTGTTGGTTTTTTGGGTGTTTGTTTTTTTAAAGAGCTTTGTATTTCAAAGTGAAGCACTTGTAACCAAGGAAAAGCACTAATCAAAACCTGTGTGGAGCAATAGAGCAAAAAAAAAAAAAAAAAGCAAAACCAAGAACATACAACAAAATTCTGTCTTACTAAGTGTGGAAACCAGAGCAGCTATTAGTGTTTTTCTGTAAAAGAAAGGAAAAAGTTAATTTTTTTGCTAACTCTGTGAGCTACTTGCTCCTTAAGATAATTTTTAACCATTTCAGTCTCTGTGCTGTGAACGTCTGTATTTGCTAAACTGAACAATTTTTCTTTTCCTGAAACGAAGATCTCTTTTTGAAAGCTTTCTAATAAACACTTCAGAGTCGTATAAGCTACAGTTTACTCAACAAAAGCTGTACTAAGACTGGAGACTGCTAAATAATTCTCCTGATACGAATGATCGTGATTATTATATATTTTTGGAAAGGGGAAGTGGGGAGGAGTTGGGATTTTTGTTTGTTTGTTTATAGGAGAAAAGCAAAGTCTGAATTTGCAAGAAGGACAAGCAGTGCTCCTGGAACTTTTTTAAACCAGGCACAGACCAGTGGAGTGGAACAAAGTAATTTAAGTACCAAATTGGATTTTGATCCTCGAGAGGAAGAAAAGCAGCAATGGAAAGTCACCAGCAGATATTGTCACAACAAGAAGTTGAGGGAAGAAATCCAGTGATGCTTGATGGAAACCCCTAAGAATACAGTGGGGGTCCAGTAGCTTTTCTTACCGCTCTCCTGTTTCTGAGGGAGGATGAACAGTTGGACCAGCACGTCTGTTGCTGCAGGAGGCCTGTAAAGAACTGGCAAATGCAGCCACTAGGATTATATGTTAATACCTATTCAGGGACACGATCTAGCCCAGCAGTTCTGCTCTTGCTTCCTTTTCTCTTATTTGAGAGATTGTCGTTAAGATAATGGTTTGCTTAGCTTTCCCCCCGCCATTAAAGTTGCTAAGATTTATTTGATGCAAAAAATTGGTGGAGACAAGAAAATACTCCCTTTCCACAACATCATCTCAGAAAAAGAAGTACAACAAAGGAGCAACGTATTTATGGTAACAGTTCATTTCTTAACTGATTTTGATATACGAATTAACAAGTTTCTCTACTTGCAGTACTTGCATAGATTTGGGTACTTTAGTTTCTCTGTCCATTAGAAAATACACCGGAATGCGGAAAGCTGGTGTTCTGTCTCAACTTGTATCAAACTACCATTAATTAACGATTATTTCAGTGCAAAAATAAAATAAGGATTTACTAGGATATGAATGTATACAGTTAAACAATACTTGCCAGTTAAACAAAACAAGACACCTTAAAAAAATCAAAACACAGAAGCAAAACTTTGCCTATTAATAGAGGCATGGAGGCCCACAAATTCCTGGTTTGGGTTTTTTTCCGTACCGTTTGAAATTAGACCAGATCTTTTGGGTTTTTTTATTTTTTATTGTCTAAGCTGGTTCATCCTCACTGAAAAAAGGGGACTCTAAGCATCTAAACAGCTTTCTAAAATCTGGTCCGAAGTTCACTTGATAGCTTTATTAAGCGTGCGTCGCTGCTTATGCCTATATAAAAGCACAAAATAACAATGCAGTTGTTAAGAATATACACTATGAATTCAGTAAAGTAATACCGAGAAGTAAAACTTATAATAGGAGCTACCAAAGGTTATAATCTGATTTTCTTTGAACAAGTTAATTGGGCAATCAGATGCCTAATTTGAGCATGCTATTTCTGCAGTTGTTTACAAAGTGTGTAATTTACATGCACAAGTGGCAAGATATGCTTGCATGCACGCAATTACTTGATTTTTTGCCCAGTTGTGTTAGGTCATTTAAAAAAGGAAAATAGACTCTGAAATCTAGTACGACCCTGAAATACATACACATGTGTGTGTATGAGTATTTATATATATATAAAAAAATATATATATTATATAGGTATTTATATATATATAATCTGGGATCAACAGAGAGGAGGATTGTTTTCTTTATAAATATCAAACAAGACGCTAAAGGTCAGTGGATACACATAGCCACTGTTTTATCGTCTTTCCTCTTAGTAAAATGTGGGTCATGGGTTTTCTTTAGATGTTGTATTTTTTTCGATTTCCTTAGTAAAATACCTCATAGTAATTGGTAGTCATTTCATCTTAAAACACTGAGCTTGCTGTTGGTGTATTTACTTTGGTAGAACTTAGAAAATTTGGGTCTTTTCCAAGATACTCCTGCCAAAGTGCCCCCCCATTTTTACAAGCACTCCGAGACTAATTATAAAGCGTTTCATAATTAATTCAACTATTGCTAGACTGACAGTATTTGCCTATATTTGTTGTGCCCCTCCTTTTATATTTTCCCTTTTTGCTTTGGAGGATTTTTTTGACAATAATGTATCAGATTGTGTATTGTTTCTATAATGTCATGGCATTGTGAGCACCTTTCCTGAGGGCAGGCACTTTACGAATTGCTGTAGTAAGATTATTCTTTATAAATTTCTGCACGGAAGAACAGTTTTGTCGCCAGATCAGATTGCCCTCTAGTACAAATTTGATATGGATTACATATAGGCACAAAAGCCACAAATGTTCAAAATGGGAGAGAAAGTTGGTGTTAACAAAACAGAGGACAGAAGATACTTGATAAATCCTGCCAGGACAAAGCTAAATTTACACCAGTATTTTTACACAACCTTTAATCAGCAGTTTATATTAAATCAGTTTTGCATTTTATGGCTGTGGCATTTTGATTCAAAAGTCGGCACTCCTCGAGTTACCGTGTCTAAACCATGGCCTGCGATAGCGAGACGGCACGGCCGTCTGGACCTGCATGAAGCGTTTATCAGTTGCTTCGTGCTTTGAACTCGGATCACTTCGTGTCACACGAGCACTTCGGCGTCCACCAAGATCCCCTTCGCCCTCATGACACACCCAGCAAGAACAGAAATGTCAGCAAAGCCTTTCCAGTGCTGGCAGTACCGAGCGTAATCTGGAATAACCTCTGCCATTTTTCTGCCTTGCTTCGATGTTGCTTTAAGCTGCATCGCTGTCCTCCTAGCGTCCGATTCATCTCAAACTTCTGCACCAGCCTCCCCAAAAGAGTGAGATTTGTTTCCCAAGGAAGAGCTAGCCTGAATGCTTTGGTCACTTACCGTCATCAGTACACGCCATTTCCCCTATTTTCGGTGTCTTTGTGGGAGATAGGTCGTTGTCTCTGACCTCCCAGAGAAGTCAGAAAGAACAGCCTGAACGATTTGGACGTGGGTTCATTTATGTCAAGAGCCAGAACTTCCCCCTGAGATATAAAAATGGAAGGCTCTATTTTATTGGGTTTAACCACTTCTTAGTATTGATGCTGGTAACAGAAATTGCCAACATCAGTATCGGAGTGGAGATCAACTGTATAGACCCCAAATATTTTTCTTCAGGAGTTTTCTTGCTATAACAAAGCTATTTCCCACCTCCCCATTTACCCCACCCCCCAAAAAAAATCTGGAAAAGGAGATAATTTTAGAAGGGGGACATTTTAATGGCAATTTTAAAAATGGGACTGCTCCAACTGCTCCTACGTGAAATAGCAGCTATTGGACATTGCAGACTCGGATCATCTTAGTCATAAAATGGTTTCCACTCAAAACAATGTGCCTGATTCTCTAGTGCCTTGCACAAACGTAACAGGATACGCAAGATGCAAAATGAGCAAAAACTCCTCCATTCCAGTTTGTGGGTTTGTATTTTTAACCAATACCAGTCCGTCACCTAGCAGGTATCCGTTGTCATGTAAGCCAGACCTGTAAGCCCTGCTTGTGTGAATAAGCTGAGTAGAATGCCTACCCGTTGAATTACTTTATCCAAATCATTAGCCTGGTATGAACATTAGCTGTCTAATGATCTACAGATTCCTTGCACCCGTTCACCATCGCCGACATCACTTTCTTCATTCCTTCTCCCCTTCATTTTTTAAGATAACGAATAGGTAGGCAACAGAACAGGCGGCAAAGCTTTAGCCAAAAGTTCTTGTAGAACCTGCATGTAAGAATGGATTCCAGCTCCATGTCATGTCCCAGATGTCCTTGTCGCTGAGTTTTTATTTTTTCGTTCATCCTGATCCAGTGAGTCGGGATGGTTTTCTATTTCTTGCTACAGTCTGGGGCCAGCTAGAGTGGCCCTGCCAAGAATTCAGGACAGTCGCTGTTTAAGTGTGGCAATATAAAGCGATTTCTTTCTTCCCCTGCCTGTAAATATGTTGAAACGCCGTCTCAGAAACAGGACGTGAAATTAGAAGCTTGCTGGCCATGTGTAGAGGCATAACAGGTTACCAGTGAGGCTCGTTTCTGTTGGTTCAAACTTCAGTCATCTGTTGGAGAAAGCTGATTTGCGCCTTAGAAATCTTTTGATAAGGAAACATTTGTAAAGTCTCACCTTGGTCTTATATTTACACTTTACTCAATCTTCCTGTAAGGTGGTAGCACTGGAACTGAGACCTGTGCGGAGTATGTAATTTAATTTGCATTTGTCAGGATTTTTCCGGTAGCTAACTGTGGGCTGTTGCAAAGGATCATAGCAGAGATTTTGTTCAGGAGAGCTTTATGGCACCTTTAGCAAAATAGCTAGAAAGTAAGTCATGAGCAAAAATTAATCAAGCTGAGGGTTTAAATACATTCTGTATCTGCTAGACGGAAGCAGCCCTTGTCTGCATCTGTGTGGAGCTTGAAAAGCTTGCAAAGATTGCAAAAGAGCCAATGTACGCCTATAGTTGATAGTGCCCACTTGAACTGTTTTTTCCATCTTAGACTACAGTGCTTTCGCATGGACCACGCTCTCCCTTCTGTCCAAATGCGAGATTAAAGATGTGTATCTTCCACTTGGAACTTTTTGAGTTTATTCCTCAATTCGAAAAACACTAATCATGTTCTTCGTGCTTCACGCAGACCATTTTTAATAGCAATCCAGAAAGACCCTGAAAACAGAAATCAGTCTGTTTCTCATGGCACCAAGCGAAATAAAACACGGTTTGCTCCTCTGCTTGCTCGTACTCACAGCAAGAATTCATTTGGCCAGTCAGCTGATGAAATGTAAGGGAATGGATAAATTCAGTAACCAGCCGGTGTTCTGCTTTTTTTTTTAACGTGTCTTAACACCAAGACTTCTTTTCCTTCCGTGTTTGAATCTGAATGTGAGATCTCTAATATACCCTTGAGGGAAATTAATTTAGCAATAGAAACGCTGTTTCAGCTTTCCTATTACTCGGGCATATACACAGTATTATACTAAGGAGGTAGGGTTTCAAGATTAAATCCAAATTCTTGATGTAATTCAATGCTAAAGATGGACTCGAACATTTGAAAATGTTTGAATGTTAGTGCTCACTGTTTGCCAATCCTCTTAAAAAATTCAGGTTTGACTTTGGAGTCCTTATCTTAGTATGTTATACCCTGCAGCAATTAGTATAGGATGCGTAATGGTCAGATAAACAAAAGTTACTAAAATGTTTGTAAAAAACTGCCTTGGGAAGACAGAAAAAAAAAAAAGTTAATACAAATTTCCTCAGGGAACATAAGAGGGCTGTAAAGGCAGGATGTAGGTTTATTTGAATGGAAGATGGCTAAGAAATCCATTCTTTTTTTCTATTGTAGGCAAAATTTAGAGAGCAATATGTCACTGAATTATTAAAATTAGAAGGAAGCACTAATTAGTGAACATGGTCTTACTTAATGCTGTAGCTTATGAAGTTCGAAATAGGAAAAAACCCACCATGTTAGATGTTATAAAAACATAGAAAATGCGTTTGAACCATAACCTAATTATAACATGAATCTATACGTTTGTATAAAACTTTTCAGGATCTACTGTAAATAGAAAGGCTTCGTGTTTATATAGTTGCTTGGTCAAAGCATGCTTTGTCTGTAATTGGATTACTTCTTACCAGCTAACTTCAGCAAGCAAAAAAAGATTGTGTTAGTGTGATATCCTGGAGGTGTTGAGTACTCCACTTTGCAAAGTGCTAATTCTACACGAAATTAAAAGAAAACATGCCACCACGGGTTTTTTTCCACATCTGCAAAGGTATCCGCTTCAGTAAACCCAGGGTTTTATTGAACCATGTTAACTAGTATTTTGAAGGAATACATACGCAAATTCTCAAATTTTTCTTTATTTGTATGCAAAGAAATTGTTTTTCGTCTGTAATAATTTTTCCTATCAACTCTTCTTCCTCTGTCCAGGGTCTC